ATTCATGCAGGCGTGGTGCGGTGAGCTCGTCATGAGTTGAACATGATGCTTAATTAGAGCTGTGTGCAAATGTAGCTTACATTGTGCACACATATTACAATGTATTGGATGCAGACTGGCCACCACACAGTGGAATAGCTCCAAAACCGCACTTAGACCGCACTTAGCTTGTGCTTAGAAAGCACAGCTTGGGCCACAATTTAGGGAACTGCTAGAGGCACCAGGAGCTGTCTCTGACATCATGCCACCTCACTCCTTCCATATTTGGGTATTTTTGGATGAGCTTATTTTTCAGGCAATGGATGTGATGTAATAATGGGGACAGGGCGTAAGGCACACGCCGGACATTCGGCAACATTTCCGAAGTACATTGATGCCACACACGCGGCGTTGGCTGCAGTACTGTGACCAGTTCATCGGTTGGCAGTGCCACTCATGAGTCGGCATCGGCGTGCACTTTGAAAACCAGCAAAGAAATGATTTGTGTTACATGATGGCTGAATCCGTCAATGGAAGCCATTATTCCAGTCGATCAGCAAAATCTGGAGCCGCCCCCACATGTGAGTAATCCTCGCTCATGGTACAACCTTACTAAAAATACTCTGGGTCCTCTCTACGGTCCTGTCTCCGCCCATAATCCCTTGCAGGCTCCAGCAGCAGGAATAGTCATTTCAATGAAAGACTCCGTCTGTGAGCAGTCGACTGCTCGTGTCGGCGTCCCCGCTCCTTCTATCCTGCCTGGCTGTGGGAAGCGCTTCAGGGAGAGGCGATGACCGGCAGAGCAGCGCAAACGCCGCGACCGCACAGCCCCACGTACTCTGGGTAGTCACCGGCGACGCCGAGCGTGTTGGAAGGCACCGGCCCCACGGAGATGCCCACACCAGCCTCGTCCTTGCTCACGGGCGTCACCATGCACTCGCCCTGGCCGCACAGGCCGATGAAGTTCGGCCAGTCCCCGGCGGCAGCGACGCCCACGGCCTCAGCGGCGGTCTCCTCGCTCATGCCCGCCACCATGACCGGCACGGTGATGCAGCGCCCCTTGCCGCACAGAGCAATGACGGCGGGGTAGCCGCCGACGGTGTCCAGGGCCAGGATGGCGTTGACGGGCCCGACGCCGATGGCGTCGCCCGCGTCGTTCTTGATGACCGGCGTGGCCGTGCACACGCCCTCGCCGCACAGCCCCAGGTCCTCCGGGAAGTCCTGGGCGAGTGCCGAAGCGACCTACGCGAGCACCATGAAGCAATTCAGCGTCCCGGTCACCCCACGCCTTGCTGCAACAGCTGTGAACATTCGCAGCATCACTATCGGTTGCATGGCGGGGAATGGGATGAGCGGGTTGCGCTATCGATATTGGGACGCATCCGACTGGTCCTCAGCGGCACGGGCAGCCACGTGCAGCCACAATTTGCGCAAGCTCTTGAACAGGAACGTGTAATCCCTCCAGAGGCCAGTCGACACTCACCGCGAACGCAAGAACCAGGGCCACGATGAAGGGCTTCATGTTGCTGGAGATGAAAATTTCTGCGCATCACACCAAGTTGCGAGGTCAGACGCATTGCCCCATCCACGAAGGCGCATCTTGCGCTGTTCGCCTCTTGGCTGAGACTCTGGGCAAGCGACACGCTGTCGCGCCGTCCACCGACAGGCCTCTGCCAGCAGTCGGTGCCTTCACTGTGCTCGGCTCCGTAGCTTCAGCGAGCAAAAACGCTTGTAGCGACCAGCAGCACATCGGCGATGGCAGCCGCCCCCAACTGAGGCGCGCACAAAGGGCGGCCAGGAAACGGGTTCTCCAAGAGCGGGCACAGCTCATCCGGTAGAGGTCATGTCAACGTTGCTAGTTGTCCATGGAAACAAAGCCGGAAGCAAAAAGACTGGATGCAAAACCCGTTGCGCCAAGGGAAGGAACAGGTCAAGCACGCAGGAGAGGTAGGGGAATTGTGCGCGCGCTGGAACGGCCAGTTCGCATCCGAGGATACTGGCTTCCACCAGGTGCAAGCAGGCCAACAAGGTGCCTCGTGTCAATGGTACGCCGATGGAACCCGATTGGCAGCTATGTCCAGGAGGAGCCTACACAAGCAAGTGCTGAGCCAAGGACCATCGCGCCCACGGCCTTCCGGTGGCGTCAGAGCGAGCGTGTCTCAGGCGCTCCGCCCTCGCATGACCCGTTAACGACCCTCCCTGTGCTTGGCCTCGCGCCCCGCCGGTACCCATGGGTGTTGCCGCCGACACTGCCGATACCGCCCCGCCCATACCCATGCTGGCGAACGTGTTGGCAAAACGTCCCTGCCCGCATTCCAACCAGGCCCCACCATACAACGCGCCCAAACACAGCTTGTGTTTCGTCCCTTCACAGTTGCCTCACCTGCAAGTCGCGAGAGCTCCTGTGGGCTTCGGTTGCTTCAGTCGCGATTCGCAGGCCGGCGCCGCAACGGAACCGGTGCAAATATATAGGTCTCCAGGACGCGGGGGTCACATTGGACAGCACCTCCAGTACGAGGTATCGGGTACGAGGAAGAGAAACCATCCGGGAACGGCCGGCAGATCTGCGGCGCACACGCTCGCCATGGCCGACATCCGTGAAATATACCGCAAACGACCGACGAGGTTTCGTCGACTCAGCGCACAACCCTTGCCAGGGGCCACACCGTGCGTGCCCACGTGCACGCGGCAATCAATCACCGGACGTTGCACAATCGTTTCCGTGCGTGCTCACTGCGCATTCGGAGGAGGCGTTGTTGACTGTCAACAAGCTGCGCATTCGAAATGATTACTGCTGAAAGGAAACACCATAAACCTTAAAAATTTACCTCTTCGTGCCGCAGTTGGAGAAGTTTCAGCTGATGCACTGTGTAAATTGCGTTGGACGGATTGAAATGAAAGACAACATAAGCGCATTGTGTCCGTACGTAACGCACTTCATAAATTTATCAAGCGCATGGATGCGCGTTGGCCTGGTGGTGCAGAAGATCTCTTAGATGGCCTGTGGCAGCCGAGTAGGAGACACGGGCATCTTCCTTGCTTAAAAGTTCCGCGTCCTGCATTAGTACAGGACCACCAATATTGGGCCCTCCTTATTCTGGAGGATACAGGTTGGAAAGCTCCTCATATCCAGGATCTGGCCTGCCATAACATCTGTGCAGTTGTTATATTGTATGCGTGTCTACATGTAGACACGCATACAATATACGTATATTGCAGCCCATATACAGCTGGTATGGCAGGCCCATCCAGAAATTTCTGTTGGCGTTGATGTAAAGGTCACAGCCCCTTGCATCAACGCCGCTCTACAGACAGCAGCTCTTGAGGTTGGCGTTGATGCAAGCTTGGTTTCACGTTCACGTTTACGTTTTTCTGTTCACTTTTTAATGGCTATTTTTACATTTTTACGGCTCGTTGGGACAGCCAGGTTACACAATGAAATTTGTGTACATTGATCAGTCCTCATCCATCTCCAACATCCGCAACGCAGCGCCCACCTCGCTCTCGACAAGGGCAAATAAATGGAATAGAAATTCGTTTCTTAACCATTCCAGCGCGTCTGAGTGCCACTCTCCGGAATTCCTAGACTTTATGTACTGTCCTTATGTATACGGGGTCGTATTTACGTTGCATTTACGTGTTTTTACGCTTTTTTACTTGTACGCCTAAAAGCGCACACACGTTCAGTTTGTCAGGTGTAAAAACCAGGCCTGGATCCAAGAACCTATCAATTTTGCACAAAAGTCCACCAAACTGCCAGATCTATCTTAGGGCCCGACAAACCGGACTGTTGATGCGGCATTGCTGCAACAGTGCTTTTATTGAATGTTGCATCAGGATGCCTTGTTGGAGGGTCGATAAACACCGACGCCGACGTCAGCGCTTATGAGCCCTCCAAGGCTACAACCTACCAACCGTACAATTGTAGGGTGCGAGGTTCTACGGCACAGTTTCAAAGTACGTTGAGCGGGAAATTGCGGTTCTATCTTTCAAAGCATCGTTGCGGTCTCCAAGTTCACGGTTCGTGCAATTTGCACCGTGCAAGCATCTGTTGATTAATTCTCGTGTGCACGTGAGTGTACGCGGTACGACCCATTCCCAAGGTCGTGCGCTGAGGCGACGAAACCTCGTTGGCCGTTTGCGGTCATTGGCGGATGTCGGCCAGGGAAGAGCATGTGGGCCGCGGATCTGCCGGCCGTTGTCGGATGGCTTCTTTTCCTCGTACCCGGCACCTCGTACCGAGGGTGCTGTACAATGTGAGCCCCTGCGCCAGGGAACCCCACATATTTGCACGGGCTCCGTTGCGACATCAGTCAGTAAGTCGCGCTTGAAGCAACCAAAGTCAACAGGAGCTCTCGCGTCCTGCAGGTGAGGCAGCCGGGAAGGGGAAAACGCGAGTGGTTGGGCGCGTTCTCTCGCGGAGTTAGGTTGATGTGCTGGCTGGGTCGATTTGAGTGGATGGTGTGTAACGGCGGGGCGAAAGGCCAACCGCCGGGAAGGTCGGCCGGCAGGCTCTCGAAGACTGGGCTAGTAAGACAGGCTCGCTCTGATGGCGCCTGTGAGGCCAGGGGCGATGGTCCTTGTTGCAACTCGAATCGGACACGCCGAGGTGTAGCTGGAACGTCCATCCACGCTCCATTGGCGCGTGATACCTTGCTGGCCTCGGTTGCCTCCTTGTGAGAAAGCGCGTCCTTGGAAACCCCGTTTCGCTGGTCGCCCCGTGTAGTGCACCTAGGGTTGCTGTGGGCGCCCGCAGCCATCGGGGTACAGTTGAACCGAGGATTTCCAATTGGGTGACAGCGAGCAGTGACCTGCACGCCGCGGTCAACTTTCTGGTCGGCTGCAGGCGACTTGGGGCGCCGTCTGCTCGTGCACGCCTGTCGGCGGACGGCAAGACAGAGTATCGCTAGCACAGCGTCTCAGCAAGGAGGCAGCCAGCGGGTGGCGCACCTTTGTGGATGCGGTAATGCCACTGACCTCCGAGCCTGGTGTGATGCGCAGGAAGTCTCATCTCCAGTAACATGAAGTCGTTCATCGCGGCCCTGGTTCTCGCTTTCGCGGTGAGTGCCGGCTGGCCTCGAAGAAAACCTTGTTGTTTGCGCTCTGCAAGGACGACAGGTCTGCTGATCACAATCTTAACAATGCGCACTGCGTCCATCCCGTCATCAACTGAGCAGCCCGCTTGTCCCGTTGCCGTTCAACCGATGGGGGGGCTGCCAACAGTTCATAAATGTGGGGGCACTGCGTGGGGTGACCGGGACGCTGAATTGCTTCATGGTGCTCGCGTAGGTCGCTTCGGCCCTCGCCCAAGACTTCCCGGAGGACCTGGGGCTGTGCGGCGAGGGCGTGTGCACGGCCACGCCTGTCATCAAGAACGACGCGGGCGACGCCATCGGCGTCGGGCCCGTCAACGCCACCCTGGCCCTGGACACCGTCGGCGGCTACCCCGCCGTCATTGCTCTGTGCGGCAAGGGGCGCTGCATCACCGTGCCGGTCATGGTGGCGGGCATGAGCGAGGAGACCGCCGCTGAGGCCGTGGGCGTCGCTGCCGCCGGGGACTGGCCGAACTTCATCGGCCTGTGCGGCCAGGGCGAGTGCATGGTGACGCCCGTGAGCAAGGACGAGGCTGGTGTGGGCATCTCCGTGGGGCCGGTGCCTTCCAACACGCTCGGCGTCGCCGGTGACTACCCAGAGTATGTGGGGCTGTGCGGTCGCGGCGTTTGCGCTGCTCTGCCGGTCATCGCCTCTCCCTGAAGTGCTTCCCACTGCGCGGCTACCCATCTCTAGAAGACGGTTAGGCAGGGTAGAAGCGGGGACGCCCACGCATGCTTGCGCAAGCAGTCACAGACGGCGTCTTTCATCGAATGATTCTTACACCCCAGAGCCTGCGAGCATTCACGTTGGGCGAGACAGGACCGTAGAGAGGGCGCAAAATACTTGAGCGGAACAGTATTGTGAGCAAGGTCGACCCACATGTGAGTCCCAGTACTGTCGATCGACTGGAATAACGACATCCATGAACGGTGATGGCGTCAACATGTAAACAAATTCATTTGTAACACAAATTATTCCAAGGTGCAAGCGGAGGCACACTCATGATAGGTTTTGGAAGCAGGTGAGCTGTCGCCCTTGTGATTATGCTCCAAGTTTTGCATCAACACGATTTGGAAATGATTTCATGCGTGAACCTTCAAGCATTATAGTTTCAAAGTTATCAGCTGGCCTCAAATAATTTTCAACATACACTAGGAAAAAAAGGGCCAAATAACACTTTTGCGAACACACATAAAACACATTTCATCAAAGTTCTGCACGCTAAGAACACAAAAATAACACGAACCCGTAAACTTCGTACACGTTTGAACACGTGTTATTTTGCCCTTTTTTTCCTAGTGATATGGAAGGGAAATTATGGCATGTTATTCACAGATATCTCCCAGCAAAATGGCCTCGAACATAAAGGTTCTTCAAGAGTTCTAGATCTCTTAACTGCACGAAAATATCCTCCACTCAGAAGTTTTTAGCAGATGGTAATCGGCAGTTCGCAGGTGCCAATTCGCGCAGTCAACTGCTGCTCTTAAAAGAAGTAACCCTTGACTTCCATAGTCGAAATGCACGGAAGCGAACGCGATTCTACAGAAATACTGCGTGTATGTGAAACACAACCAGTGCTTTATTTTCGGAAAAAAATACTAGATTCCGGCTCCGCGCACAAAGCACACATGAAATTTCAAAGAAAGATAGGTAAATGCAGTACGCAAAAAGTGGCCAACAAATGGAAAAATCGATCCTGCTGTGTGACCAATTGTGCTATCTGTTTTGCATGCTGTAGCTGCTCTCATCTCGTTGTCAGCGCCAACGAGACTAAGCTACCTTTGGAACGAGGCAGGCCTGGTCAAGACCGGAAGAGACCTTCTCAAGGATGACAACGTAAAATTATCCATCAATCACTGCATCAAAAAGGAGATCATAATGTGGTCACCTCCCTGAAAACCTCCCTGAGCATATGCACAATATTACTTGTGCACATCATGGCAAATCAATTTTATAGCATTAGGATATATCCAGAAACAGGTGCCGAGAAAAAACTGGCAAAATTTGATAAGTGAATTTATTTTAAGAATCAAGCTGAGCAATGTCCATTAATCAGTGCTGTGGGAAGGCAGCCCAAGCAGTGCTAGGAAGACACAAGTACTCCAGCAGCTGCATACAAAATTAATTTGGACAATATCAAGATAAGTTTTAGAAATGCCCCAATGAAGCACTGCGATTGTGCAGGTGCGCTTTGCAAGGAAGAGACTGACCATTCCATGGAATGGCGGTCTGTAATGTGTTGCTCCACAGCAACAAAGTGAGCAGCCACTCTTATATGTTTTGATGTCCCAATGCGAAAACACATTTTGCTTCAGTTCCAGCTCGCCATCCCGCCATGACACTTCGTTTGGTGTATTACCATCGATTATCGCTTGTAGACATCCGGAGTTATTATACTCATAGATTTTGTTTGTGCTTCACGTTAGATTTCAATGAACCGATCACCGACTCTGCTTTGCTCGGGCAAACTAGGAAGCTGACGGCTACCTCATTGCCTTGCTCTGCAAAAAAAATAATGATGATGACGATGATGCGACATCTTGCTAGCGCGAAATCGGGCTAGAAAGAAAAGCGCAAATTACAGTATAGAACTGCGGAAGCGATGGCGCAAATATTGGAAGAACCTATACCAATAAACTGCTTCTTGGCTGACGACTGGTTAAGCAGTTTTCAACATTAGAGGAGAAATGTTGGACCCGATCCAACCATATATAAGGAAGTTCGGCAGGTGTTGATGCAATGTTGACGAGGGTTAACCCCCGCTGCATCAACGTAGATGCGCGGTGGCCGTAAAAACAATGGCTTACAATATTGGTGAAATGTCCTTGAAACAATGGCTATTGGCATCGGCGTTTATCAACCTCCAACAAGGCATCTTCTTGCAACATTCCCAAACAAGCAGTGCTCCAGCACTGCTGCATCAATGATCCATTTATCAGCCCAGAGATTCATGCACATATTTGGCAGGCTTTGTTGCACCATATTTTTTAGGTCGTTGCATCAAAGCGAACTTCAGAGCTCGTGCCTGTAGAGCGGCGTTGATGCAATGGCCTGTCAATATTGTCAGTTGCAGATGTGATTATCGACTTTCATCATCACCATCATTATGTTTTACAGAACAATGCAATGAGGTAGCCGTCAGCTTCCTCTTTGGCCTGAACAAAGCAGGGTTGGTGATTAGTTCGTTGAAATCTAATGTGAAACACAAACTAAATCTATGAGTCTATTAACTCCCGATGTCTAGAAGCGACAATCCATGGTAATACATCAAATGAAGTGTCTTCGCGGGTTGGCGAGCTGGAACTGAAGCAAAACTTTTTTTCGCATTGCGACATCGAAAAGTATAAGAGAGGCTTCATCGACTTTCACATCGATGCCTGACAATACTGGAATTGGCCAATGCTGCTACGCTTCTGGGATTGCATCAATTCTCAGAGAAAATTGGTGATGAGCACGAATAAGCACTGGCACTCTCAGAAACTCAAAACATGGGAATCCGAGGAAAAGGCAGCATCCAGAAGCACTTGCCTTGCGACTTAACAAAAGATGGCTGCGGAAAGGCCACTGGAAAGAATGGAAACCGACAGGAGAGATAGAGCTGAGCACCCTTGCGGAAAAGGTTGTACAGTCATGTATTACAAAGTATGTCAACCTTGTACCACTGTTTCCAAAGGCTTGTTGCGGGAGTTTGCCACCCAGTCGCATCATTTCCTGTGTTTTCCCACCGCCCTACCGGGTTATGTGCACACACAAGAACTGGCGTGACGGAGTGGGGGACTGCCGCAATATCGCCAAAACAGGAACGTTGGCCTTCGAATTCAATCTCCCAGGGCAGGCCAGCAAACTCGGATCTCAGTTTGCCACTGGGCAGCGAGGCGAAGATTCTGTCCAGGTGCCTCGACGCAACGCAACTGCCCTGCACGCTGTCGCACCAACCGCCAGACCTACGATGACCTTATCATGTGCTTGTGTAGGTCACTTTCGCCGGTGTAACCGCCTCGCGGCGCCGTCACCCGCGCAGGCAACCGGCACCCGTTCCACACTCGAACCCAAGCGGAACAAACGCCGCGAGCCATCCCACCGGACCAACTGCCCGCCGCAGCCTGGATCGCCCCCGCCTTCCGCGCTTGCCCGCCGTGGCGCAGACCTCCCACCTCTGACTCCAGATCGCGCGAGGAATTTCCGGCGGAGTCGCCATGGGAGTGATGCGCACAGCCGCGGGGATGGGGCTGTGCTTGCTGCTCGTCCTGTTGGCCGGCGCCGCGGGGCAGGTGGACGACGACTGCGTCGCCACTGCCCTGGCCGCCACCGCCCCCGGCGAGGCCGCCGCCGACGCCCTCTCCAACGCCGTGGCCAAGACGCTCACCACGTCGGTTGTCTGCGAGACCGGCGCGCAGGCGCAGCCGGGGAGCGTGGGCGGCCTGTCCGTGGCCGTGGCGCTGGCGATCTCTGAGGCCAACATGATCGGGGAGATGTGCTCCGCGGACGCGGAGGCCGCCGCGGAGTTCGCCTCCGGCTTCGTGACGGACGAGCTGGCCGGCGAGTTGCTGAACCAGACGGACGGCGACAGCGAGACGCTGGCGATGGCTTGGCTCACGGCGCGCGGGCCCGACGTCAAGGCCGCGATCCAGGATTCACCGGCTTTCCTGGGCGAGGATGGCTGCCTAGACCAGGACGCGCTGGCCGACGGCTTGCCCACTGCGGTGGAGCTGGGCGTGATCCTCAGCGACGCGGTGCAGCAGATCATCCAGGCGGTGCAGTGCGGCAACAACGTCCAGGAGGCCGAGCAGGAGTGCATCTGGGCCGACAGGATGTTCATCGGCAAGTGCATCGGCGCCGGCGCCGCGCCCGCCCCGCTTCCACAGGTCCGTGGTCACAGAAAACGCTGCACGAACTGAAACGCCTTCACCGAACTGCGGATCCAAAAGCAAACACAGCCCAAAATACGTGCAACAGACAACAGGTGCGCCGCTGCTGCAGCCCATCCGATCCAGAGCCCCCCTCTCCTCTCAACCCCTCGTCAGTCTCGGCTGCGTTAACCACTCTGCAGCCATCCGTTCCTGCGTTTGTGGCCTCGCAAGCAGCTCATGCGGTCCCCCCCCCCCCCTCCCCCTCAACGTCTCTCCAAGGCCGTCTCGCCCGCCACGCCGCCTCGACCTTGCTGCCACCCTGGCGCTGCCCGCCAAAATTTCGGATCAGATTTCTGCAGCTGGCCGGACCCGCCTCCCGATAGCACGCAGTGCAGTTGAGCGGAACAGAGTGGCGCTCCGCGATCGCCGCTGGCTTGCCGGTTCCCGTGCTTGCCGCAGCGCCGTTGCTTGCGGCTGGAGCCTGTCGCCGTGTTCGTGGGGAGCACCGCCCCTCACCTGGACGGCGATGCGCACTGGCCACCCCCGATGCCCCGGCCACATCCCAAACTCACACACGGCGTTTGTCGAGGCAGCGGGAATCGAAAGCACTGTCACACCACAGGGTCGTGGCTGGCCTGTGGCCCAAAGTGGAACATTGCTCCCATGGGCCGTCCCCAACGCTGCGTCGGCGATGTCAGGGCGCCCGAGCCCCAGGCCAATCGCAGGCGCTTTTGACGACCTGCTGGGACTCGGAGGGGCTCTTGGAGGCCGTTTCGACCACCACACCCCAGGTGGAGGAGCCTATGCCAT